AAGCTATTGATATGTACAATCAAGCAGGTAAGACTATAGGATGGAATAAATATGTAACACTTTAAATTTTTCAGTGCCTACATTCTGAACCATAGCTACGAGGCGCGTCCCAAAAGTAAGTTTCCCACTCGTCCCACAGCTAGCAAACCTTATATTGAGCGAAGCGACTGTGCCGGACAGCGAGTCTCCTGCAGGAGTTCAGCTGGGAGGTGTTTGATCATTCACCCTACAGCCCGGACCTCGCTCCCAGTCATTTCCATCTTTTCCTACACCTCAAGAAATTCCTGTCCGGTCAGCGTCAGCGTTTTGAGAATGACAGAGAGGCGGAGATGGTTGTCACACAGTGGTTCCAATCCCAGGCGGCAGACTTCTACGACACAGGTATTCAAAAGTTGGTCCCACGGTATGACAAATGTCTCAATTCCGGTGGCGAATATGTTGAAAAATAGCTGGACACTTGCTGTATCTGTTGCAATAAATATTTCCATGAAATTGTGTTTTGTTTCTGTAAACGGCCCCAGGGAAACTTACTTTAAGGACGAGCCTTGTACATACCCTGTTGACTGAACACTGTTAGATCACAAGACAGCAGCATTGTATCCTCCTCCTTTTCTTCTTTCATTAGGCAACTTAACCAACTTAATTAGTTTGCTAGAATGTAAATCTACAATATGGAAATTGGTTGAAGTCATGATTTTGCATTCAATTTGGCAGTGATAACTGATGAACTGCCTCAGCCATTCATATGAAATTAGTGTGGTGATAAATCATGAAGCCACATACATATTTTATACGAAATGTTTCTGTATGTTACAAATTACAAACAAAGTGAAGATAATCTCAGAAGTTTTTTCGTAAATTAAACTTAGTGGGAACTGTTCTAATGCAAAGTATGCACATAAATTATTTATTAATTTCTGTAATTAATATATAGTTCTTGTTATTCTCATACATATTGAATTATTTTCCAGAAAATAGTTCTCAGATATTCTTCACTGTTTGTTAAATTCTGCATAATTTTGGGTAACTATTGTTTTGTAGTTGTTTATGTTTCGCCTCCATTCTGTTTGTCCACAATGTATTGTATTTCTTGATGTGCTTTGTCACAGTGTTTGATTTTATAGGTGAGTGGGACAAAGCCCATAAATTGGCAAGCCAGTACCTGGATTCTAATGAGGTATCAACAATGTACATCTCTCAAGCCAAAACTCTAGAGGAGCAGGGGAATCTTAGAGAAGCTGAGAAACTGTACCTTTATGTACCTGAACCTGACATGGCCATCTCCATGTACAAGAAACACCATCAGTATGATCAGGTAAAAATTATCAGAACTCTTGTATTCCAGATGAAGGATGTGATCAAAATGTGGCACACAGTCCAAATCCAGACTCTTTTTTATGGTTACCTTTGTTATCTTAAAATGTAGTTTTGCCACAGTAAGGTTAGGTTTTGTACATACTAGATGTAAAGGTTAAACTTAGTGGGAACATGATTCATTCTTCTGGTATTAGGAACTTCTTCTCCTTCTATGGCTCTCCAGTCCATATTCGGTCCATGGCCTCCTCAATTCTCCTCTTCCATTTGATCCTCTGTTAGGTCCGTCTGTCCAAGGCTTTGATCGAGGTTTCGAAACATCTTCCTTTTTATGGCGCAAGGTTGTTAGCCTTGCAACCAACCCCCAACTTGGGAGACTAGGGTACCTGTCTTAGTCTGACCTCTCCCCCTCGACAATCTGACTAGGGAGGCCCTACCGCCAGCATAGCTCTTGGGGGTCACTGAGGTACTCAAGCCCCACCACCATATTAGGAACTACATAGTACAATATTTGCTCAGAATTAAATGTATTGACTACACCACTACAATGCAAGTCTCCTGAAGTTACAGTAGGCAGTAACACTTCCTCATCGTCAGAAGTAAAGATTATTTTATCATGAGTTATTTTACTGAGATATAATGGTTAGATATTTTTTAAATTAATTAGCTGCCTTTTCTACATACCAGATGTTCAAGTTATACTGCATTAACTTGGTTATGAGAACCTTGTTTATGATGAGGGTGAGATATGTGTTAAGGTACAAGAGGTTTTAACAAGTGCTCTTCACATACTGTTACTGTCATCTGTGTTACAAATATAATGATGCAGTATTTTCTTTAAATTAGATTTAAGTTGAGATTTTAAGTTCTCATGGTGGTGGTGATTGATCACTCTGATAATGGAGGCAGCAAGCACCTCAATGTTTGTGAACTTATACTGGGCTACACAATACAACAAACGAGAAGACAGTCATCTTCATCTTCAAATTTAAAGTCCTTTTCATTTGACAGATGATGCGTTTGGTGAACCAGCACCATTCTGAACTTGTGCAGACAACACATCTGCATCTTGCACAAGAGATGGAGGCACAAAATAACTGGAAAGGTGCAGAACAACATTATCTCAATGCTGGAGACTGGAAAGGGGCTGTCAATATGTACCGTGCAGCCAGTTTGTGGGAGGATGCTTACAGGGTCAGTCAGCATCAGCATCAAACCTTACCTAACTCATGTACGAGGGTCGCTCATTAAGTAATGCCCCACATTTTTTTCCTCAGAACATATTTATTCAAGATGGCTCAAATTTAGTGACAATATAAATCAATGTTTCCTTTACACATACTATTTTTCCACATAGTCCCCATCAACTTGTACGGTTTTACGCCAGCGTGGAACAAGGGCATGCATGCCTTGCCGGTACCAGCTCTTGTCCTGTGCACGTAGCCATGTCCTCACTGCTTGAATCACGCTCTCGTCATCTTCAAATCTTGTTCCGCGGATAGCATCTTTAAGGGGCCCAAAGAGATGGAAGTCGGAGGGTGCCAGATCTGGACTGTAGGGGGGATGGGGTAGCACCGTCCAACCCAATTTGGTGATTTCTTCCCGGGTTCTCAGACTTGTGTGAGGGCGTGCATTGTCGTGCAGGAGCAAAATTTCTGCTGGATGCTTGTGAGGCCAAACTCGTCGAAAACGCTTCTTGAGGGTTTTCAGGGTCCTGATGTACGCGTCTGAATTGATGGTCGCACCTCTTGGCATCACATCCACAAGAATGACCCCATCACTGTCCCAAAAGACAGTCATCATGACTTTTCCGGCGGAGGGAGTTGACTTGAATTTCTTCTTTCTCGGTGATTGAGGATGATGCCACTCCATTGACTGCCTTTTTGTCTCTGGCTCAAAGTGGTGTATCCAGGTTTCGTCACCTGTAATGATCCGGGACAGAAAGACCTCTCCCTCAGCATCAAAACGCTCCAACAATTCAGAAGAAATCGTTTTCCTTTGAATCCTGTGGTCTGCTGTGAGACTTCGTGGAACCCATCTTGCGCACACCTTCGAATATGCGAGAGCCTGGATAATTGCAATCACACTTCCATTGCTGACTGAAAGCTGTTGGGCCAATTGTCGAGTTGTGATGCGCCGATCCTCACGAATAATGGCATCCGCGCGGTTCAACATGTCTGAAAGAATTCAATTACAGCTCGTTGCTTGTACCGAGAGTCGTTCACAGACGCCATTTTAACAGTTCACTACAGCTCCGCTATCGGTTGGAATCATTTGAAACTCCGTACACGAACGCGGGAAACATCAAATCTCAAGCATGTAAAAGTACACTTTTCTATCTTCATTATTGGCTGAGAAAAAAAATGTGGGGCATTACTTAATGAGCGACCCTCGTACTTGCCTGGTCATAATGAACCACCAAATATAATGCACACTGCAGTTTTTAAAGGTTTGGTTGAATAATACTTTTTATGCATATCAATTATATAAAGTTTACTGACTCATTTATAAATACAGTGAACATCTGTCAATGCATTAAACATTTTTTGAATTCTTAAGTTTCTCCTTTTTGTGTGCTTTCTCAAAGTTCTCACTTCTGCAGTTTTTCTTCTTCAGTTTGTCACTTCATGTTTGTTTCTCTCATCTTTATTATATTTCTGATTTATCGACATTTTATATTATTTGAATATAAGTACTTCTGGTCTAATTTATTCCACTTACACATATCATTGTGTGCCACCTATGTGTCAGATCTCTTTTGTAATCTGGACTAATAAGATTTTCTTTAATTAATGTACTTTTATTGTTTGTTTACTTTCAGGCATAATCTTAATATCTTACTAATTTGTTTCCCCTTTAAAAGGTACTATTTTTGTGTTACTACAAAACATTAGGTGAATTGTCATTATGAAGCTTAACAGTGATGGTGTATTAGAATTTATGATGTTCTATTTAAACATTATTTATTGTAATTTAAATCACAGGCAATGGATAACATAAAAATAAAATATTAAATAAATTAATTTACAAGCCTTGAAAGATAGGCAGCCAAGCAAATTGTGACTGATATTTTATGCAAACACTGAAACAGGTTCATTATAGTATATATATATTATATGAATGCAGTTTCAACATTACAGGTTGCTAAAAACAATGGAGGACAGCAGGCCAGCCAGCAAGTTGCATTCCTATGGGCAAAATCTTTAGGAGGAGATTCAGCTGTTAAACTCCTTACAAAGTTCAATCTTCTAGAGACCTCTATTGATTATGCCTGTGAAATTTACCAGGTATTGGAATTCTGAAGTACAGTATAGTGCAGGAGAAGTTTATTATTATGAGTGTGACCTGTGACAAACAGTTATAATGAACATTATTTGAAACACTGTAATTATAGTAGCATAATTTTTAATTACCACTGAATGCCATAAAAATTAGCTCTGAAAATATACAACACCTAATTTATTTAATATAGAAATGTTTCCTGAATTTTGTTTCTCTCAGTTTGAGTTTGCATTTGATTTGGCACGCACTGGCATGAAGTCGAAGATGTCAGATATCCACTACAAATATGCAATGTCTTTGGAAGATGATGGAAAATTTGAAGATGCTGAAAAGGAATTTGTGAAGGCTGGTAAACCCAAGGAGGCCGTTCTCATGTGAGTAATATTTATAAATGTATAATTTAAGTGAGGCATGAGAGAGCACTCATCAAAGCTCTAGTCAGTAAAAAATACTGGTTATGTCATGCATAAATTGAATGTTAACTATGAGAAATATCTGGGATATCAGACTGATATTAACTGGAGACAAACATCAGATACCTTCAACATCTCCTGAATTTATAAATAAAGAGATGACAGAACAGTGGTGTGGTGCATCCAGTGTTCAGAATAGATTATATTGTTTTACAGATTGCTAGCATGTGTCACAGTTGCACTTATAAAAAGCCAAATGTCCCGTCTTCATTTTCCAACATTGGACTACAATTTAAACAGTGTTATTAATAGTCTGATCCAAAAACCACCATTAAATTAACCAGTTTACTAGTGATTATCTGACTCATCACCCTGATGATGGAGGCTATACTGCACTACAACCCAGAAGAAAACTTCTTCAGGATGTCAGACTGCCACAACAAGAATTAAAAATGGGATATCTGAAATGCAGAGCAAGAGTGATAATTACTGAACTATGATATTCAGTATTGAAATTAAGGTCCCTCCTTGCTATATGTTACAGGTATGTTCACAACCAGGACTGGAAGAATGCCCAGCGGGTGGCAGAGGAACATGACCCCGTGTCTGTCACAGAGGTCCTTCTTGGTCAGGCCAAAGACGTGTTCAACTCCAAGAATTACCCTCAGTTTGAGTCCCTGTTGCTGCGGGCACAGAGACCTGAGCTCATCATCAAACATTACCAGGTGAGGCCCAGGAGAGAAACTGTCTTATTGCAGGGGTAGGCTATTTTGTTTTGCTACTCTTACTATATCTATGAGTACCCTGATAAAAAGTATGATTTGAGCTCTATGTGATATAGGGATTATATTGAAGTGATATGATTCTAAACTAAATTTGCCTGACAACTTTTAGTATGGATTGAAATTCAATCAATAGTTTTGGAGACTGCATGTGTGGAAGATACTACCGCCCTGTTATGCATTTCATGTGACCATATAACAAAATTACTTTTATTGTCTCATGTATCTTTCAGGATTCAGGAATGTGGGTGGATGCTCTTAGGGTGTGCCGTGAATATTTACCCAGTCATCTACCAGCATTGCAAGCTGAGTATGACCGTGAGGTAGGATCAAAGGGTTCCAGGGATGTTGTTAGTGTGTTGGCTCAGGCCAGAGAATGGGAGCAGAGTGGAGAATATAAAACAGCAGTGGACTGCCTTCTGAAGGTAACAGCTTCTGGTTTCTTTACACATTGACAATCCTGTAGCTCTTGGTTTCTGCCCATCTGCCTTTAATGTGTTAATCTCTTAATGGGCTGAAATGCTGATCTCCATGTATAGATTGGTACATTGCTTTATCATAAAACTGGCTATTAATTGTAATTCAGATATACCCTGCACCTTTCTATGGCATATTTTGAAGAGATAATTTCAGCAGTAAGTTGTAACATCTTTTGGCTGCATTGTAAGCTACTAATTGAAAGGTTTTATCAGAGGAGAGCACCAATTTTCTGAAAAGACATTTCAGTATGCAGCTGCAAGATTGTTTTGGGAATTCACACAATCAATAATGATCAGAGTATCAGTGTTCAATGTGCAGTTTTGATATGAATGCATATCTTAGACCAAATACATGACAAATTGTATCAAACGTTTGAAGATGTGATTTTCTGTAAACCAAACATGCTGTCTTTGTGCAGGAAAAATTCTGGCTGTGAAAGTGTTGAAGTGAGTTGATTAGGTAGTGCAATTGGTTTCACATATAGTCATTTCCCAATATATACTCAGATATGATGAGTAATATCAAGTACAAAATAAATGTTGCATTTCATTTTGTATTGTTCTGTTTTAGGTGAACACGAGTCTTACCAAAGACCAAAATGTCATTATCAAAGCCTGGACACAAGCAGCTGAACTGACAACGAAATACCTTGAAGGCCAACAGGCTGTGGAAGTGGCTAAAGTGTTAGGTAGGTGCAGCCTATCCAGGTAACAAGCTCTAACAGTAGGTTCAGAGTGAAATGACAATGTAACTTTATTTGACACTCCATTGTTATTATAACCAAGTTAAACTGTAAACTGTACTATCCTGGCATTTGTCTGGAGGAACTGAGGAAAATCACAGAAACCATCATTCAGAGTAGCTTGTGTTCAGGCTCCACCCCAAACTACAAATCCTTTAATTCATGCTAAAAAAAAATTTGGATGCCTTTCAGTCAGTATCCATCCCAACCCAATCCAATCAAACTTAACCTAACCAAAAGTAACATGACCTGAACTGCCCTGTATATATATTTGGCTTAAAAATGATGATTGTTGGTAAAGCAACTATGAGGTCTAATAACGTTGATCATTGTATAGGATATACGAGAGTGAGGCAGAAGGTTTCAGCAATGATTTACTTTACAGCTTGTTGTGTTGGCTGCACTGCTTATTTTGTGCGCAGATAGAAGTATGAACATACGTTATTGCGAAATACTTTCGATCTTGGCCAGTCAGTTGTAGTGTAATAGTAGTAGAAATAAAATGGTTGCTTTGCTCTCCGTATGCACCAAATAAGATCAGTGTGCAATTATACGATTTCTGTGAACTGAGCTGTAGCAGGAGCTGAAATCCATCGCAGACTTTCAGGACAGTATGAAAACAGGGCTTTATCACAGCGAAGTGTATACGAATGGATAACCATGTTCACAAATGGTGGCACAAGTGTGACATGAATGATCAGCCCCCACATCCACTACTGAGGAAAACATTGAAAGAGTCTGTGCCATGATTCTGGATAAACGACAGGTGACTGTCGGTGAAGTGACACATTAGTCATGGTTCTGCTCTTGTGTCTGCATGTGTAATAGCCTTTTGTAATATACAGGACCACGTTTATTGGATATACAACAACACAACCTCGCAGCTCATGTGTATCTGGGAGTAGATCTGATTAAGGAGGCTATTGACACATTCATCCATGCTGAGGATTGGATCAAGGCTAAAAGAGTAGCGAAGGAGCTAGAACCAAGGTATAGTTCTCATTGTAATACCATGAGTGGAAATTTTGTTCTCCTGTCTGGAATAAACAGTACAAAACATTTATATATCTCAAAATATTTAATTTGCTGTTACTTTTTGAAACACCCTCGTAATAAGCATTTCATGAATATCATTTTTTCCTAGTATAGTCATGAACCTGATTTCTATTTATAACTCTTGTTCTGAGATGCGTTAAAAAAATGTTCAAATTATTTTACATAGTTACATTGTGACTAGTTTATCTGTCTTTACTTGCTGTTAACTATTTAAGTTTTCTGTGCTACTGTGGTGATAAAAAGTATATATTGCTAGAGAATAGCTAATGCTGGTTTTGTATTTTCAGTGGGTTTCTAGATAAGTGCTCCATTTTCTTTCCCTTTTATATGCCCTTGCGTAGAAGGGATAAAATAGCTGCTTAAAATTATGCAGGTTAGATATATTTCCATTTCTTCACAAAAGACTATCATGTAGGATTTGAGGTTTTCACAGCAGTGAGTCTGAAGATTGCCATCTTCGAAAGACTATCATTTTTGACAGTAATATCAGAGAGAGACTCATCTCATCATTGTCTACCTTTTACTTGGATATCTGCCATTATCTGTCCTGTACCTGGGAGCTTGCATTATCCTGTAATTTTTTCAGTGTTCATGTCATAAAAACAATAGTCCATTCTTAACATTGGACAGGTCAAGGTGAGGTATGAATAGAATTTTTCCTCTAGCCTCTGCATCCAGACCAGTTATGGGGCCCACCCAACCTCCTATTCAATGGGTACCGGGGCCCTTTCCCAAGGGTAAAGCACGGCCATGGCGTGATGCTGACCACTCACCCCCATCTAGAGCCGAGGTGAAGAATAAGTACGAGCTATACCACCTCTCCCCCCCCAAGTACCTATATGGAGTATAGTGGGAGAGCTTTACTTCTCAGCTTTCCTCTTATTATAATTGCTAAGTTATGAAGACTATGTGGATGAGCGATACAAGGACTGGCTCAGGAGACAAGGCCGGGCTGAACAGTTGGCAGATGTGGACATTATTGGAGCTTTGGACCTTTTGGCAGAGCAGGGTCAGTGGGTCAAATGTCTTGAAACAGCTAAGCAGAATGGATCTCAGGTGCTGCACAAGTATGTGGCACTGTATGCCACACAACTGATCAAGGTAAGGCACATTTCAGATTGAGTGACTAATTGAAAAATAAATTAATTGAGTAAATAACTAACCATCTTCTAAGAACCTCTGATCTAAATTATCTCAGGGGCTTACTAAGCCTCCTGTCCAATGGGTACCTGGTGGGGGAATGCAGCTAACCACTCAACTGAATCCAATCCTAAGATTAAGAGTGCTTAGCCTCCATCTCTCCATACTCTTCATAGCATAGTGATTACCTAAGCAAAGGCATGATGTAATACCATTAGACAGTATCCCTTATCTGGTAACTGAATGAAGATGGCTGTCTTCTGGATTGTAGTACCATGTAGTCTGGTACAAGTTTTCCAATATTTCAGAGGTCCTTGCTACCTCTATCATCAAGCCCCTAATGATGGAGACAGCAAGGACCTCTGAAACATTGGTAAACTTGTACCAGACTACATGGCACTACAATCCAGAAGACAGCCATCACAATAAACATACAATATAAAATCAGATGGTTAGAATTATATAAATTAATAGTAGTTCTGAAATAATAATTGCATCTACATGTTATTGATATTGTACAAGTGTCATTGCTACACCAGCCTTCTGATTTTCCAATGTAGGATGGTTATCCACTGGAGGCTTTGGGCCTATATGTGAAGTATGGTGCACCATTGTATCTTCAGAACTATAATATCTATAAACGCATTGCAATGGACATATTCAATATGTCTAGCTTAAGTGGGCCAGATGCTTACAACACCTGGGCACAGCTGCGGAACATGTTACTCAGTCTGGTAAGAATAATTTCAGTTTGGTTTCTTTGTGATAGAAAGCTTCATACATTCCCATCTGTTTCCAGTTTTCATTGAAAACACATTATCTTTTACTGAAATTGAAAGGAAGACTGCAATGGAAAAATGCATTCTAATTTGGAGTATTTTGCTCTGTAAAACATAAGTGCTATATTTTATGAATACATGTATCTCTCTTAATTTGTAAAATTCTTCTTTATGACTTGTCCACTGCATAAATTATAAAATAATAAAACTAGATTGTTGTGGAAATTGGATTCTGCTTGTGTCTTCAAATAGAAATGATAGAAAAGAGGAAGAAGGCCTATCTGTTGGACCCCATGGTTGAGTTGTCCTCTCTTCCCCTTCCCCCTACTTGTTACCTGAAGATGGAAACAGATTTTAGCTTCCGAAATGTTGTAGTTGTATTATTTAATAATATAGACAATGACCGAAGTCCAAAAGAAAATTTTACTTATCAAATGCATCAGAAAGCTGCAGATTTTGACTGCATGTTTGTTTTCTAGTTCCTTCTCTTTCAAGTAAATGCCAAAAATTGCCTTAATACTCCAAGTAAAGTGGGCCTCAAAATTAATTAAAATAAATCAAACTTCCCCAGGTAATACTCATGTAATATAAATTCTGTAGCTATTAAGTTTCATCTGAATATGTCAAAGGACTGACAGGATAATATAAAAGTTAATTTAGACATTCAAGTAAAGTAGATCTTAAATAAACCAAAGCAAAATTAAAGTGACTTGACAAAACTTATTTACCATACTGAGATTTATCAAAATTAGTCCCATAGTATGGGAGTTGTTACAGATGGAAAGACAGGCTTGATGAAATTAATTTGTTTTTCTTTCAAAATTTGTTTCAAGATGCACCTAACAGTAGTAATGACATATCTCAACATTAGAATGAGACGTTAAAAGTTGTGGCTCACAAATATACAGTAGCAGTATAATACCAGTTTCATATTGTAGTGAAGCAATATATATATGTATTTTATAAGCTTTCTTGATTGATATTTGATCATAACTAAATGCTCTCATTATGAAGACAGAAGCCATGAAGACTTCTTCTGAAGCTGGTAGTGCTCTGCATGACGAGTTTGACACTCTGCTGGTGATCAGTCATTACTATGCAACCCGTACTGCCAGCAGGGAAATAAAGACGCTGGATCACCTGGTGGCCAAACTGTCCACCTCACTCCTCAGACACACAGACATTATCCCTGCAGATAAGGCATTCTGTGAAGCTGGTGTTGATTGCAGAGTGAGTACTATATTGCTAAAATGTAAAAACTGCACATTATTTACAGAAACTAATTGTTATTTTAAAATTTCAATTTACCTTTAAAATAATACTTGTCTGTATGTTTGACTGTTCAGTGATAATATATTCCTTTATTCTTCACCCAACATGTATGTAAGTATTCGTGAATTTGCTTTTCCTGTTCTGCATCGGTTTTATAATTTGGATCATTGATGCTGTCTGTATTCATAATTCATATCAACTTCCTTTACATTCGTGTTATCAGAGTGTTAACTTTACTTCTTCTGAAAGAAAATAACCAACCATTTAGTGAAAAATAATTGAATATTCAGCCCAGTAATAGGAAGCTGTAGGTCATCTAATTGTTTGATGGGCTGTGGTATTCACAGGCTGTTGGGCAAGAGAGTGAAGCATTTGTGTTCCTGAACCATTACCTGGATCTGTGTGAAGCAATTGAGGAGGGTAACCTGGATTTGCTTGACAACAGTGACTTTACCAACACTGACTTCCCCATAGAAATTCCATTACCAGCGTCTCTTCACATTTCATCACAGCAACAGGAGGACATCAAAGAATGGGTGCTGGCCATTTCCATAGACCAGAAGGTTGATCAGGTGGGTGCAAGAATGCAAGTTAATAAGGATGTATCAGAACATTCTCTTCATCCATTTATATTTAAATGTCCAGTGATTATAACCAATAATATAAATTAGTGGGACTCGGGGACAACTGTTTTATTCTTTATTTATATATATTTAATGTTTTATATATATATATAACATTAAATTGGGAGTTGGTAAAATCTCTGTAGGTTTCCACTTTTACCTGTTAAGGCACTTTCAGGTTCCATAAAAGGATGGAATTTCTTAACCAGTTGAATATGTCAGTTTCCCCAAGGAAGATACTGCACCATGAAGTTGGTTTGTTATGCTGTACCTCATTGAGAAGTTTGATCTTCTTTGTTACTGATTATCTTTGTTATATACAGGTTTTAATTGGTATCTTCTCTGTGCATTGCCTTCAGGTTTTGCCCATGGATGAACGTGGTCTAACTCCTTCATCCCTAACTTCACCTAACAGATCAGGTCCTCCTGCTTTACCTTGTGTTGTGTCTGGTTTCCCTGTGCTCTCTGACAGGGGACGTAAACCCATCGAATTCAAACGTCAAGGGAAGCAGGCCAACAGGGATGACTGGAACAAGCTCATGATGGCTGCGAAGATGGCTCCTGAAACACACATAACTGATGTCCTATCATTCATTGGAGAATGGTGTGGAGGGTCTCCTAGCTTCTCATTTCAGTAAAAGGTGCAGATATTATTTTACAGTATATTCTGGTAAAGTTGGTTAATTGGTGCTACATTGTGCCAGAGTGAATCTTGACAGGGATTAAAAAAGTGTAATTTTAGAAATGTTATGCCTCCGTCCTTATATCACTGTTGCAAAAATGGAAATGTCACTGTATTTTTATATATATACAGAAAGTAGCAGGTATGAGTCTGGAATGATATCATGACCTATTTCAAGGTACTATCATGGTATTCTAGGGTGACTGGGGAAAACAATGAAAGCAGACTGATGGCAACCTGGACAAGGTTAAACAAGGTACCTCCTATTACTTTATTGTTCATTACAGTTTGTATATTACATTTTTTGCTCATTCTTAGTGTTGCATAGGTAAGTGATATTCTAGTCTTATTTTTGAGACACAAATCATATACCACTTCTTATTATCAGTATGGTAGTTCGTACTCTTGTATCACGCTATAATCTTTCACTTTAAAGAAAAATATAAACCCTTAAGGAAATGTTGTGATTTAGAATTATGGTAACTTGGAAAATGTATAAATATGCAACCTTAACAGATTTTTCTGTAAAACATCAAGATTGAAAGGGCATGATAAAATTCTCAGATGTGTTTACGCAGTGATTGTTGGGTTCAGTATACAGGTTTTGGTTCTTAAGACTGTATATCATTATTAATTCACAAAGCAATGTTGAGACTAGTACCCTTGAATAATTTTGTAATCTTACACATTATATCTAAAAGTAATCAACTCTCCTAATAATGTCTGTTTCCAAATAGTTATAGATATGTTTCTCATTCTTGAAATTTTCTGTGATTTTTAGTTCAATGGGTAGACAATATTACCACAGAACCAATTATTTGTAGCTATATACAATATAATATTAAATTCCTTGGTCTTTTATACTGATTGGGTGGTAGTGTATATAATGATACAGTGTTAAATATAAAAGTAGGACACCTAATATTAAAATTTATTTAAATTTCTCACAATTTTGGTTATTGGCATCATACGTTCGTAAGGATATCGTGTGGGTTGAACAACAGGGCTCCAGAATACATCACAGGATTTCTTCATGTACTAAGCTATTTTATTTTATATTCATAAATGCTACAATAAAAATATTACAGCAATAACAGCTTTCATAATCATACCTTCTGGAAATAGTGACTTCTACAGGTGACTGGAACTATTAGTAGTAGCATAGTATAAACTAAAGAGTGCAAATGAAAATATTTTGAAGTTCAGGAAATTTTTAAGCTAAACTTTTGCTTTTTATATTCTGAACATAATAATTTATCCCACGATAAAGTTTATATATTAAAAATTAAATGGTTTGGTAATGGCTCTCTATACACATACTGTTCAGTCTCTTGTGCAATAATCAGTCATGTCACATACCACCATACATTTTCATATAAGATACACACAGATTTCATCCACATAACATTCATATGTGTACTATCACAAATTTTTTTCTGGGTTAGCAACTGAAACAAATTTGTGGCTTTTATCAAAGTTCATCTAGAAAGAATGCCAAACTATAAACATTCTATTGCAGGTTTGTCCACAAATTATGTATAAAAAAATTAGTAAACTGATTTTAACAGGTGTGCATAAAATAATACACAATGTTTTACACATATACAAGAACACAGATAACACTCTGTTTCACAGATTTTTTGCACTTCTAAAATACACAACAAACTCTTTTGTGATTTAATATATGGAAATGTTCTATAACTTAAAATTTGTTTGCCTTTGTGTTTTGATTATAGGAATCATGGATTTAAGGCTATAATATTTTGCTGCCTTCTCTTTTATTAATACATCAGGGTTCCCATTCATATCCAACTTATCCAAACTTTGGTGGTCATTTGTAAAATATGAATACTTCAATGACTTAATTGCATGTAATAAAGTAGAAACATCTTTGGAAGTAAAGACATGTTATAATGATGTAGTATACTTTGCTTCATCGTGAGTAAATACAGTACTTTCTTGCATAAATAAAGGTTTTGGTACTCAGATCTTATAATGGGGATTATTTGTTGAATCAAACACACACAAAATAGCTTTAAGATATAAAACAATAATGCTGATTTTAACTCGTAAAAGCCATCCAAATAATTTCTTCATGACCATACAATTTTTTGATTCCTTCATTAGTAACGGATACCATTGTGCCCTGACAGGAAAAAGTCCTTGGTACATATAATGACATTCCAGGTTTCACACAATTGTGCAGCTACACTGAAATAGTCAAACATGTCTCCCATATATCCTGTAATGATATCTGCCCACTACTGGGTTAAGAGAAAAAAGCTGAGAAATGGGATGTCTGATACTAGAATCCAAACAGCCAAAATTAAATGTTGAAACTAAATTATATAGAGCAGAGTCCTTCCTGATAAGCTAATTGTACGTTCAGCTAGTCAAGTAAGTCCAGCTTTAATGGGGCCTGAAGGTTCATTACCATGTTCACAAGGGCCTGCCACCAGTCCGTCCTTACCCAGATGAATTCAATAGACACCCTCCAACCCTACTTGCCTGAAATCCATTTTCTTAGTATCCTCCCATCTATGCCTAGGTCATCTAAGTGGTCTCTTTGCTTCAAGCTTTCCAACCAAACTTGTGTGTGCATTTTTCATCTTCTCCATGTGTGACACATGTCCTGTCCACCACATCCTCCTTTATATTTCCCCATGGTTTCTGAAAGTAGGAGGTTGCCTTATATTCAGGCTACTGTGGTGAGGTATATGAAGAAGCCCTTTTATAAATGAAATCTGAAGGTTTCTAATGATGGTACATTATAATCTGTAAAAGTGGTGTTTTAGACTTTGTCCATGGTCTGCCGATGTTTCAATAAAATTGCATTTCAGAAGCTGGATTTTCTTCCATCTTCCAGTAAAAAAAGGAAGGACAAGGACAGAAACCCTAGAAGACATGACGTGCTGAAAATAATCTAGGGTTTATTATCTTTCAGTAGAACTGGTCTTGGTGTTTTTCAGGGCATAAACTATATTAACCTTTTTTTAAAGCGCATTGGTTACTAACAATATATCTTATCTGCTTCAGTAGTCAATAACTCTTCATTTTTATTTTTGGATTTCGAATGATTTTCAGTACAAACAGCGAATATTTCCTTAAACAGCGTTAATCAGTTTATCTATGTAATGGTGAGGTCTGGTGTTTCCTTTGCGGTACGGACTGAATTCTTAAATATGATTTAGTTGCCCCTCGGCTTTAAAGAGGTAAACATTTAGTTGACACTTGTACGTCTTCTGATGTTAAGTGTGTCTCTTGTCCCCAGGGTACAGCAAGTCCTCAGGTTGAGGATACAGAAGACGGCCTCCAGTTATGGGGGACAACCGAAAAGATTTTGGGGCTTGATAGAGAATTAACAGCTCCCCCCCCCCCCCCCCCCCCCAAGATGATCCAGCTTCTGAAACGTAATTGTACTGAAATATAGATGATGGACAAAGCCCATACTACCACTTTTACAAGCTCTTTCATCATTATTTCCATTAGTACTGTCACTTAAGTCTACTTTTTAATGGCCTGCTTCAGGTTCATAACTACACCTCAGAGAGGGGCCAGCGTTGTATTTTATAATACCCTAGAGAGGTAGACTGTATTTATCCAAATACCATGTACGCTTTTTTAAATTCATACATAAAAAACCAGACGTGTGACATACGAGGATTCAATTTTGGTAATACACATTATGCATTGAACTTTGGCAACATTATTTCCAAAACCTGAAATATGCACCAGGTACATCAGTGAACATGAGATTTTACTCAGCTTACAAACTTACTCAAGACAAGAAAAGACGTGCATTTTTATCCCAGCAATCCTGAAGTTATTCTTGTGACTTACTGTGAAACCATAAACAAATTAATTACTTAATTATTAATTGTAAATGATTAAACTTTCTTGTCTGATACCTTTTGCCAGTCATAAACATTACTACTAAGAAGTGTAAAAATGCCTGTTTATGCCTATTTTACTCATATATTAAATATGTAAAATCAGAGATTACAGTGGCTCAACATAACACATCTAGTCATAACACCCACACGACTGAATGTGGCTCTGCGGTCATGTTAGACAAAACCTCTGCCACAGGAACAATTTTTTTGGTCTACAATTTCTCAGTATTTGTGGGAACCCTGTGTATACTTACATTATCACTAATATAAATACAGGAGGCTGTGTATTCTACAACACTGAAACATATTAGGCAGGCACGTCTTCTGTATTCATTTAATAACAACAATGCAAAATAATGGAAGTTTCTGTACACATGTACAATGCACTCTGCATTGCTGATTTAGAGTCAATTCGTTTTTTGGAATTAACTTCGTCAGTGCATGCTGAAGAGGTCCCCCGCAGATGGGAGAGGTGCTAAGCCCCCTGTCACATCTGGGAGTTGTGTGAGGTCAGGGAGATTCTGTATATGGGACTTCACCTCTTGTCTCACCACATAAACCTTCTGTAGCTTCTCTGTATATTCCTGTAATAAAGAAGCAATTGGTTTTATTTCTGAGCAAACAGGCTTATACTGTCATCATGCCTGTCTTCCCCAATGACTTTTGAATCAAGTGGTGGTGTTTTATTAAACATGGTACAACCACCATGCTACTAAAGGCAACCCCATCTTTGTACATTTTAATGTTCTATTATCAGTCTATAAATTCTCTGTAAATTTCATTACTGTGTTCACAAAAACTAGTCAAAAGTTTTATCTTTGTCACAGATAAGGGAAGAGGAGGTATGCAGAAAAATCTGCGCAACATTCAAATGGTCTCGAACAAGAGACCTTTTACTTAGAAATTCAGTAACTTAACCTGAGACCATCAGGTCACTAATTCTCCTTATTGACAAAACACTTGTTTAACTGTAAGTTTTCACCTCTAGCCTGTGTTCAGCTTGAGCAAGCAAGTCTTTCTGTGCTTGGAGAAAGTCCTTCAGCATGGTGGTTAGTTTCTTGCGGTACTCCATCTCTGATGCCAGTCTACTGTTGTAGTCTGTCAACAAATGCACTGCTTCATTCACCTGGACTGATAACTTCTCTGCTGATGCTTTATCTGTAAGTAGAAAAACTATCAAAAGCAGCTGCCCATTTCAACCCTATTGCAGTGACAGCATATTAAAGTATAGTTTAGTATTTCATGGCATAGAGTGGTTACCACCTACAAGACCACATGGTGTCACGATCCAGATCACATCTGACACCTTGATCTCCATGAGAACCTCAAAAATCATATATTTCTTCTGTGTGTATATGAATTATGTATATTTACATAAACTATGTTCATAATATAATTATTTTAACTTTAAACCTGTTCCCTGCACGGTGTAGTTCGAAGCAGTAAAGTGAATATATTCTTCCTGCACACAGTATATTTTGACACACCTCATTTCCACTCAGCATTATAATCCCAGCTGATCATACCAATATGTTTAGTATGCAGTTTCATTCTGTTATTCCTGCACAATGTTATCCACATTAAATTAGCAATGAACATTGTAAGAACTATTCCCTGCAAAAATTACCTTCTAGTTTAGAAAGTAGTCCAATTTCTGAAACCTCTGGAGGCAAGCTGGCGATCTTTTCTCTGACAAGCGCATCACTGGATGCAGAATTTTCTAGATCCTAAAACAAATGAACAAATCAAGGCTGAGTGTATTGTATAATATTATGAGCTATAAGGTTGCATTTACTGAACATATTTTAAAATTCCCCATTTTTTTTAAGAGTGTATAACTTTCTAAATTTTTCATGGATGTGGCATTTACTATATAAGGATTCCTAACATTTTAAAATTTCTAACAGAGATTATTATTTTATTTTCTGAATATTTCTAAGGGAAATTCAGTCCACATTTTTAAATAATATAGCTTGTCTAGTCTATAATTTTTGCATTTTATTCACTTCTAAAATATCATTAGTTACGTACTGACATTTTCCATTAAGCACCAACATTTTTCATCAGACAGCAACACCTTCAAATTCAATTAGCCTATTTATTCTTTAGTATCAATAATTAAGTAGCCAGGCCTCTATCCTGAGTCAGTTGAATTCAGTACACCCTCGCATCATATTTATGTATGTTTAATATTATCTTCCTCTTTATGTGTAGGTCTCTAAATGGCTACTTTCCTATAGGTTTTCTACAAATTTTTGCATGCATATCTTATCTTTACCATGCACACTACATGTGCTCATCTTCCTTGCTTTAAGTATCCTAAATAACATTAGACAAAGAGAAGAAATTATGAAACTCTTCAATATGTAACTTTCTCAAACTAAAATTTTATAACTTTCATATACATTTCCTGCACAATAACAATAACTGACAGTAAGAATTATCAGGAATATAAGTGTAATTCAAATCTCTGTATTTAAATGTATAATGTTATATCTTGACTACTAATTATGAACTGAGGTAACTCAATAAAGTGACTGGCTACAGGGTGGATGACCAGGTTTGAATCCTGGCATGGGCAGGATTATTCTCTTCACCATGTGCATATCAGTTCTGTAATCCTCCTACTCTAACAAGTACTAGGGGCTTTTTCCCCAATGGTACAGCAACTGAGCATGAACCTGACCACTCATTTCCAACTTAATCTGTAACATATTCTCAATTTAAAACTGTCCTCTCACCATCAAAGCTTTAATGAGCTCCTCAGGTTCAGGAGGGTCTCCAGCTGGAGTTCTTGGCGACAGCGTGACATGTAACTCCTTCATCCCATCTACCTCAATTTCTACTTCTGTCTCAGACTTCTTGCGTTCTCTAATAGGAGACCTGGATCTGCCAACGGCCACTCTCTTGGTAGGTGTTTTATCTGTCTCTGGTCTGACATTTTCCACCACCTTAACTTTTTTCTTGGGAGGTGACCCCTCTCTTTGACTTCCTCCTTCTGCTTGGAGTCATGCATAAATATTGAAACAAATGTTAGACTAGCCAATTCAATATATCACAAACTCATATTCCTTTTGATCCAAAGGAATTTTTATGCCAAAATCATTTGAAGCTACCATAAAATTATACTTGAATTCAATCTTCTGTGTTTTCATCTCTGCTATACTAAAAGCTTGTACCTTCCTACCCATAAATCAATGTTTATAAAAAAAACTTCCCCAACATGAGACAATATGTGTTGCAACATTTTTAATTCAAATCTGTTTCTACATATTTAAAATTAATTTGTAAACTGTGGAAAAAGCAGTGAGAGTACTCTTCTCATTTATTACACATTCCCAAAATGATAATTTAAGAAACTGCTCTATGAACTGTAATGAAAATTACATTGAGCCTGATGAATGAAAATTATAATAATAATTTGAAGAATAATATGAACATAGTTTATGTATATACATACTCTTCTGATAATACATGTCTTGGTATACTATGAGATCTTTTTATCTTATATTAGTGTGCTACCATGATATAGATGCTACTCTGAGAATTCTACAGCTCATAATACAAGCATGTGAACCACTTTTCCATACTTACCCAAACCTCGTCTGAATTCTTTTATGAGCTTTGGATCATATACACTTCTTTCTTCCCATATTTGTAGAATCCTTTCAATACTTTTTCTCGTTTTCTCATCACTTTCAGGAACTGCCATATTTTCAAATGCTTTTCTGAGAACATTTCCAAATTCTTGCCCAAATTCTGGACCTTTCTTCTTACTATTTTGAATAACATCATTGGCCAGATACATAAATGTTAACTTCCTATGATCTTTAGCTGCAATGAAAGCATATATATAAATAAACTGCTGGTTTCACTAATGTCACATGCATACTCTCTCCATTTCAGACTCGAGTACAATTATTTATCTTCCCACTTTTTCCATACAGAGTATAAAAATAAATAACAGTAATTCAAATTAGAAATCTGCACTGACCCTTTAAAGTAGGAACCTCTTCTATATAACTCATACCTCCAATACTTCTCCATTACAAAGATCATCTGGATTATGCTGTTTCACCAAATTATTTCTGTTTATTGTGAGAATCATACAAAATCCATAAATACTCTGTGGGCAAACTGCAATTACTGAATGTTAAAGCAGGTATATATAGTTACTATCTCACGTTAAATAGTTAACAAATGTTCTTTCGGCAATAAGTACAAATTTCGAATCTCTGCCCAAACACATCAAATCATATGATGGGTGAAAATCACCAATGACAAGTTACATGTCTGAAATTCAAAGCTAGTAGCTATGCACAACAATACCTGACTGTTTAAATGCCTGAGAATCTTGTATAACTTTCTGACATAATCATGTATCAATATGATGCAAGTAGGGCTTCAACACTCGGCGGACAGAAATTATCTATTACAAGGGTGTTATAAAACTTGTTTTCGAACTATTATTTGAAAGATACGTAAACAAGTAACTTTCTTTAATAAATGTCTTTCCGTTTTCAATAAATATAACCAAACAAAGATTGTAAACTGTCACAAGTACGTAGTTATTTGCAATCTCAAAATGTAACATGAGAATGGGGTCCCAGAAACTCAAATTTTACTTCTCTGGTTAATATGATCTATATCCACTATCACCAATTGCTGGTGTAATATAACAGCGGTCGTTAAGCAAATGTATCACTCAAAACTAAAGCATGCAGCTTAAAAACATTCATCCTAAAAGTAAATAACCATACACTCTTAGCCACTATTCTAATCGCTTACCTTTCTGAAGTTCCCTGAACCAAACTTTTACAATTGTGGCATGATGTTTCCTATGATGTATTAACCACAAGGAAAGTGTCTGAATGCTCTGTTGCGAACTGTTTAGATCTGCTAGCTTTTTCGCTAAAGCACCTTCTGTAAAACCAGCCATCATCTCAATAAACATCCACAGCAAACTGTTATTCTCCAAATTCCGATCCTCTGTTGTTTTGATCATTCGTTTATGGTATGTCGGATAGAGTACGTTAGTATAAACACGTTTCGAGTTCGATTTCGATCGCAAAACGAGGTAGCAAGTTTAGATTTGGGCCGCTCGAAGCGCTGCGAGCAACCCACATACAAGTCGGCGGGAAGTGGCATGGAGTTACATTCAAAGTACACTGATTTTATATGCAAAACATAAAGTGAAAGAAATGCAGCAAGTTCTTCAGCTGACTGGTTCACTGGTATCAAACATGAAGATCGACGAGGTAATTCAACATTTATTATTATTATTATATTATATTGGCTTATAACATACTAATGCGTGATTTGAGAAAGGTCGATCGTGAATCCAAAGAATTTAGTTAAGATATGTGAGAAAAACGTTTATCAGTTTTATCAAAATATTCTTCATAATGTTCACCAACTGGAGATATGCTCGGAGTGGGATGATATATAGAAACTAAGAATTTTAATGCTCGTGTATGAGATATAATGACATACAGGTATGCAAAATTAACTTAAGGCATCTTTCAAATGAACGCCAAATTGATATTGTGTAAAAATGTTTTCAAACAGATTGTGTACCATTATATGCTTAGCATATATATTTCTAAGCTTTATAGCATATTAATGTTACAAACATATACCTACGACATAAGCCTGTATGTGTAGAACACAGTACAACAGAACCAATCAGGTAAAATCGCCCCGATGACGGAGGCAGTATGACCTCTGAAACGTTGGTTAACATCGACCAGACTGCACAGCGCAACAACCCAGAAGACAGCAATCTTCAGGTAAAATGTATTTTTAACCAGCACCAACCATCCCATCAGAGTCATTGCTTGCCATCAATAACTTACCTGTTAGCCACCTCGTTCAGGCTTACGTTCCCCGATTGTTTGCGCAGGCGCAATTAGAAGAGACACACTATAGTTCAGACTCGAGGTATGGAGGGAATGATGACCTACCAAGCTGTTAGCCAGACCTCGACTGCTAACACTCAACTTACTTTTGACGTAGCGCGCCGTACCACATTTCTCGCCTGCGCTGTTTTGTAATTTGTGATCGAGCATCATGGAAGGTAAAGTACGACGTTTTTCTCAGTTTCCATTTTCACGAACCCTTACCCTGCCTCGGGATTTAGCTAAATTTGTTTTAAGTCAAGCTCCGCCATTGTTTAGAACATATATTTACTGCTCAGTTGTATTAATCTTGGTCCACGCCCGAATAGTTTGGTGCTGTATCATGATTGCCCTTGGGTGTGGCCATAATGCACGCCTTGAACTTACAGCCAATGCCATTATCCCACATTGTCTGCCGCAGGGGCTCCGAAAACTCGTGTTTGCTGTCTTGTGGACGTTAAAGACGCTGTCGTTTTCATCGTATTCACAACTTCATATTGGTACACTTTTTCTAAGAGGCCCACTACTAGGCAGATGATATGTTTTGTAAGGTATCACACGCTACTTTATTGACATAAACACGTCCTGAAGCTACATAATGGGATATCTAGGCGTAGAGGGGAGAATAATATTGGAATTTATATATAATAAATATGGTGTGACAACGCGAAATGAATTCATGTGATTTAGGATATGATCAGTGGTAGGCTTTCGTCAATACGGTAATCGATGGATTCCATAAGTCGGATAATTGTTTAACTATCTTGTGCCTGACTATTTTCTCTTTATGAAGGATTTTGCGCAGTGAAGTCTATTATGAAAATGTGGCGGCAACTTTCACATTAAACGTTACAAATAATATTTCAGAATTTTTGTCGACTTTCATTTCTTAATGATTTTAATCTTTGTTGCCGTTGTCATCATCCTAATTATTCATATAAGTTTTATTATTGTTATTTATATTTGTTTCCTTTCTTCGTTCTATAATTGTCTATTTAATGCCAATGTGATTATATAAGTGTTTGATATGTTATTGTGCGACTGCAATTTTATAAATATATGTAGGGCACTAATGTCAAACACGTTTCGACCTCAGGAGGTCATCATCAGTGGCACAAAAGACGAATTAATCCATATATATCAAGGTCTTTGAGGTATGAAAATAAAAAAATAATAATTCAATTTGAATAATATAGATCTATGTGTTCCAGCAGATATACTTTTCCACTCTTGTTTCATTTTATAGAACAAGTAGTCGTACTAAAAGAATGGTGGGTTAAAGGTCGTGCATTTGCCCAGAGTTGTTTATAACTACGATATAGAAAACGATCAGAAACTCGGTGTCGTAGCAAGGAGAAGTTGCCGAAGCAGGTTGTTCTACTCTTTACCTTGTACCGCTGCGGGAGGGGTCAGTGTGGCAGTGTGTCTGCTCTGGTGAAGTTGCGGAGAGAGAAAACAGTTTAGTGGGGTCTCTGACTCTTCCTTTCCGTCGGTAAGACTTTCTGTTACAGTGCCTGACCACCATCATGTTTGATGTACGATCTGTATTGTGTAAAGGGACGCTGTGCGTGATTTTATTCCTTTTGGTGACATACGGCGCATCGCAACAGTTAAGAGGACACAGAAGTGATGCAAGTGAGTGGATCACGTTATATATTTACGAAAGTTTTGTGACAATTTGTCAGTTTAGAGAATTTGGAGATTTGTGGAATTCCTAATGCTGTCTAACTCGAATAAACCACTGCAGTCTTCCGAGTTTAGAAACTGAATGTGAACTCAGGAGCAGCGTGAATTGTTTTCGAGTTGGACCATAAACTTATTTTTAGCGTTTTATTAGGCAAAGACACAGTTTTGCCCCAAAATTTAGTAGCTTTATTTAAGTAAAGTAAAGTAAAGTTTGTCCCACTATACGCCATGTAGGCGTTTGGGGTGAGTGGAGGTATAGCTCCTCTCTTCCTTGACCTCGGCACTAGATGGGGGTGAGTGGTCAGCATCACGCCCCGGATGGCTTTACTCCCGGGAAAGGACCCCGGTAGCCATTGTAGAGGAGGCTGGGTGGGCCTCAGAGCCGGTCTGGACGTAGAGGATAGAGGAAAAATCTTCTGCCCTCGTCGGGGATCGAACCCCGGCCGTCCAGCTCGTAGCTAGTCACTATACTGACTGAGCTATCCCGGCTAGATTTAGTTACAATTATAAAATTTAAATTAGAGAAAAATATAATCTACTTTGTAAAAAGATTACTGCCTGCTGTGAGTTGCATTGTATAATCTCTTAGAAACAGACCGACGTTTGAGAGGAGCTTAGTGCCCCCATCAGTATGGCGATAAGGCAGTTACTAAGCACCCCTGAAATGTCGGTCTGTTTCTAGGGCACTACAGGGCGCAGCATCCCAGGAGACAGCCATCTGCACACCCGCCTTTTTAAGAACCTGAAAGCTCACCTAGTTAATAAGACGTTGCGGAGATGCGAACATAAATTAAATGTATCAGGATAGGGTCCCATGGCGAAATTTCATGTTCATGGTTATGAATCTTAAAAGTTCTGTAACGGAAAATAAATTCCTAACGAGGTGAACCGGACTCAGAACCGCTGGGTTTATTATTTGGCTACATAAGATAGTGTAGTTAGATACAGAGCCTGTTAGTTCTTTGTCATTTATTTAGCTGATTTCATGGTTTGTTATATATTTATTTAGGTTGAATTAGGGAAAATTACGAAAAATTTTACCAAGTCTCGGGACTGGATGGATTCTTTGACACGATCATGGAAGTTGGCCCAGGACAGGGGGCCGATGGTTTTTTTCGAAATCGGCCTCGTATTTTGACGTTGTAACATAGACTGACAGACTTATATGAAATAATTAAAATTATGCGTTTACATATTTTCCCGAAACGCAGCTAAAAGTCAGACGGAAGGACCTATGTAGCTGAAGTGTCAATAACATTTCTGCGGCGTCTTAAAGATTTCACGTATTAATTATAACGGAACTTGAACTTGGCGTTTTATGTACGGCGGGAGAAACCAACCATGACCTCCTCTTTATACCACGACACGAACAAGCGCTGTATTTTCATGAATAAATATTGAACTGACTTCCATAAGCATCGTCTCCTACAGAGCGAACCTTCGTCCCCGATTGAAGTACGTATTTGTAGACTTGACATTTGCATTCATAAATTTCTATGTCTTCCATTGTGTTGTGCTATTCAATGCTAATTTAATGACAAAAAGGATTTCCACTATTGAAGCAAAGTAATTTGTTATGAACTGGGACATTTATATCCCAAGATGCCTGTCTTCTGGATTGTAGTGCCGTGTAGTCTAAAAAGGACCGATGCTTGTCTTCGAGAAGGTGAAGTACATTTTCAGCATTTTCTGCAAAGCTCTTTTGTAAGTTATTCCTTACAAATAAATACTGAATAACAACTAATTTAATTTATCTCGTAAAATTTATATTACTGCACGCATGGGGAAGGCAAGGGGTGTATACAAAATTTTGGTACGGAATCCTTCTGGAAAACGACCACTGGGCAGACCAAGGAAGAGATGGGAGGATAATATCAAGATGGATCTTAGGGAGGTGGGCTATGAGGATGATAAATGGATGGGGTTGGCTCAGGATTGTGGCCGGTGGCGGGCTTTGGTATTGTCGGTGTTGGACCTGCGGGTTCTGCTACCAGGGAGTTAGTTTAGTTAGTTCCAGAGCTTACAAATACTGTTCTAGGTAGGGCTGCGTTTTATGTGGAACATTCTGTATTTATAGATGGGGTTCAGCATCGTGTTTTCTTTCGTTAGTGAGAACAGTTATGACAAGTGAAGGTCTGCATAACAAATTACAAACAGCAAAGTCAACATTTGGCTAGGATGCCTGCCCTTTGCTGTCACATGAAGATGTTTATCAAGACACGATTCGTTGTACTGCTCTCTACGATTTGCACCAGGATGATCCTGTGAACTGAATTTGTGTACTGCCTTTGCTTCGAATCAGGATACCGAGCAACTTCGTTCCCCTATGTTAGTATCATGCACTTCATTTGAGTGAGCACCTTTGCATTTTTTGATGTTTTTGACGCTGTGGTGCGAACAAAGAACGAGTAAAATGCTTTACTTTACGTAATCTGAGTCTTCTTGTCACTTCTTTCGTGGGTGCGAATATTCTTTTCTGCAATTGGTATAGGATGAGAAAACTGTGGCTACGGAGAGAGAGAAATAGTCCTCGTTTTGAAATTGTGAATGATAACGATGTCCAGTTTTATGGCTGCAACCAATGAACCACTGGATATATAAATGCGAAACTACACCTTATTGTGTATTTGAAATTAATAATATCACGACCGTGCGATTCTTTTGAATTTACATCCCAGGAATATAAAATAGGCCTACTCGAAATTTGTACTACTGAAAATATGCAGCATTGAGTTGGATCATTAAGTTGTATGATTATTTATTTATAATTCTTGCTAGACTTCAATAATTGAATGAAAGCAGACGTAATAAGTTATTAAGTAAACTCCTTATTTATTTTAATTTTTAAACTTGTCGATTCACCCTTTGCGTCTTCCTTTCGAAAATGACACTTTCTGCAAATACATGTATTTTATAGATGTCATTCTTATTTTCTAACACTGTTTGCCTTCTGTCTAAATAAGCCTTTCTCTTTTTATCGCTTCCGTTTCGGTGTGACACATATCCCATTTTTGTGTCCTCATAAGCAATTATTTTCCTTACACATGTGTTTTTGTGCCAATGAACTGTGGATTTATTAGATTAAAATCATTTTCTCAGCTGCATGGGTCTCTATAGCGTCTAATTGGAAAATTATTAGTGAATTATGACTTGAGAATGATATGAAAGTTATGGTTGTCTGTTCGAGGTCAATTCTTCTATATACTTGGACTGACTTATGGAAATCACGAAAAAAAATCTGCCACGATAGTCGGCTTTGACTTCAGAATTGGACCCGGATCCTCTCCAATACTTAGTTCTGTTGTAAGTCGTTCGATCCTATGTCTAGTAATATTGTTAGTTTTACCCGGAGTATTACAGTTCATAAATAGCAAATATCGCAAAATTCGCTACTCTTTGGTTATTCTATGTAAATGCGGTTAGGTTAACGGAGAAGAGCCTATTGTTAAGTGCACCGAAACTGAAATACAGTCATACTGCATGTCAATACCATATAATGCTATTCCTCTAAGGGATAAATTTATTTCTTCAATCCTCTCAGATTTCAGTTTTCACACACAAAGGGGACCAAATATTTTGTGAGGAGCGTGGAAAGGGTTTAAACACCAGTTATGAAGGAATCACCCAGCTCTTTCTCCATCTATAGAAACAGATGAAAGTCATGCGGATTAAGAATCAAGGCAAGGCAGTTCAGTTTTCACCGTAACAAGGTAGAACAGGAAAGAATGACTATGAGAATCATCCAGCGAATTCTCGTACAATGTAAATCATTAAACTACAATGTTTGCCTGTTATTGGCTTCTTGCTGTTGGCAAACACGTAAATAAATTAATTGAATTGAATTGAATTAATATAATATATAGAGGAGACCTACAATTAGTAGTAATAACCGAGAACTGCGCTCGTTTGTGAGAATTGTTTTGCTGATGTAATTTTCATCTTAAATAAACGTGAGTCGTTTGTCACGTTCTAAACGCTTGAGAATATTGTCGATTGTCAGGTGGCTTCGATTTATCAACGGCCATTGCAAGTGAGAGTGGTTGGCGTCACGCAGGTTCCAGTTAAGTTGCTTAGATTTAGATGCGCGAGTAAAAGAGTAACCTTCTGCTTAACCGCACTGTCTAATCACAAGGTACTTGATTTTTCGAAGGTTATGAATATATTACATTTCACATACAGTTTAGGTTAGCATTGTGTGTGTGTGTGTGTGTGTGTGTGTGTGATTCCTTGTCTGTCAGTTTCAAGTGTTTCTCAACTGCATAGATGCCGGGTTACAGTGTCGAATGGGAGGAGGGTCATTAAAGATGAACTGGAAAAGATGTGAAAAGAAGCTGGTTGTGATCTTTTGTAATGAACAGCCCCGTAATTTGAATACAGGGCCTGAGAAGACAACGAAAGACGTTGGGTTAATGGACCTCCTGTCAAAATTTCGAACCCGAGGCATCCAGAATACGAAATACTACAGTTGACCTCTCAACAAAGACGTTGTTGTGTTAAATAAGTTAAGTCATTAGAACGTTATCGTATATTTTATTCAGTGCTGTCTATTGGAATTCCTGAAGGATTTAGATATGTCACTTGTGGATGAGTTTCTACAGCGTGTTATTACTGCATTACGGCTATATTACGGTCATTCATGAACTTAATAATTTGTACGCTTAATAAACAATTAATGATATCGTATAAATGAAAATGTTATGGGTATGGCATGTAGCACGCACGAGAGATTCCTAATATTACAGTTATTCGAAAATCTTAAAGGGAAGAACCCTCTTGGAATACATTGGCGTTGATGTGAGAAAAATATTAAAATGTATTATTTTAAAGTAATAGGGTGTGAGGGTGTGAACTGTTTTTTTTTTCCTCCGGGTAGCGAGAAGTGGCAGCAGACTATTGTGAAAATAGCAATGACATCTGGGGAAAATGGCGGAAAATATTTAGACTAGCTG